GTTTATTAATAAGAGAATAATACACGTGTTGTCTTTATTCACAACAATTGATAAGTAAAATTGTCCATATAAACAACTACATATCAGAACAAAAGTGTTGTCAAGTTTCTATATAAGCGACGCTCTGATTGCCCATGATGGTCAGCAGCCCGGAATACGGGTGTTTACAAATCTCGAATGCACCAATTGCTTGTGACTAAATATTTCTTTGGTAAGGTTAATTTTCCTTTGATCTTTCAAAAAAAGGGATACAGCGCAGAGAGTTTTTGCCGATTCTCTCGCGATGAGCAGTGAACATTATTTATTTGTACAAGTATTAACAAGTAGAGATTTTAATGCTAAAACATCAAGTCACCGGATAGAAAAATGATTGTATTATCATAAATTTAAGAAAATATCAGTTTAATGGTTAAAGTATAAAGAAAAGAAGAGAATGCTGAGTAATGTTTGCCACCGAGGCAAATGATATGCTTGTAATTCTACTTTATACGTATACTGTTGTACCACACATTGTAATCCGGACGGATTACTAGTTCAGAATCCGATAATTACCGACAAATTATAGCCGATCATTGAATATTTGCAAAGTGGCTATGAATATATATATATTTAATTATTGCATGAAACAATGCAATTCTACTGTAAAAGTGGTGTCCATCATCATTACGCGCTATCGAAAGCAAAATATAATTAAGTAGAAATCAATACATATATTCCCATCGTTACATACGATATAACTAACGTTTAATTGCCTTTCAGTGCGATAAACTATCAACACAAAGATAGTTTATTATTTTTTTATGTACCTAATACGATTTTTGACCCCTACCGTCATACCGATTTGTTTTGCGCGACGGAAACCGACGGAATATAACGAATTCAACGATAACCATTATTTGCCTCTTGAGCATACAATTATTTTATGATGTTCAACATAAACTAAACCATTGAACGTTCTTGTCAAAAGTTTGACAAAAAGGGCCAAGTTTAACCCTTTACCAAGAAAAAAAAAAAGGTTTTGAAAATCTATTTTAAATGTGTAAAATATGAGTATTCATGTTTTTCTAATGATATTTAATATGAAACTGAAAAATGAAAAATATATAAAAATTACAATATTTTGCATCTTATCAGACTCCATACCTTTTGCCAACCATTAACAAGTTACCAGGTTGTCTTATCAGCAATCGGTTACTATAAATTGATTTTATAACGTAACATACAACGTGTAGGCACGTGATTCTTACAAAAGAACAGGGATAATTGGTTTATAATTAGATAAAATAATGAAATATAATAGGTCTCATAAAAAATAAACAACCACATAATTTAAAAGTGTCATTTCAAATATCATTCATGATTTATATATCATAAAATAGCAACGCTTGACACATAGAAAAAAGTAAAAGTATCCCTAAATTCAATGACTGATCCTTAGGGATACATTATAATTGATTTATTTTATATCAATTATAATATTGCTTTTTAAGATGTCAATATGTGTATATTTCATTTCATTGAGCAAAGTTATCTTATGTTTGAATTTTTGAGATAACTGAAAAATAATTGTGGTCTTTAATGGCTCAAAAATTGATATGCTTTGATTTTCAGATTTTAAGGGCTTCTCCTACCATAGGTATAATATTAAACTGTTACAAATATAGTCGGCCGGTTTCTACCGGCGAGTAAGTAATCATTTGGCAACTCGATTACCGGGTATAGTATATATAGTACATAGAAGTACCAAAGTATAAACGGTATCGTTTCGGTAAAGGTTATCGTGTAAAGGATTACAAAATATTGTAAACGTTGGAGCCTTATCATTGATCATTACTTTTTAAGTTGCTCGTTTATTGTCTTCATACCCTTAGAACAAGTCCTTAAAGTTAGCGAGGATACAGGATTTAGACCTTCAAGGAAACCAGAAAGAACTTGACCTTCACTTATAAATGACCTTGACCTTGAAGGTCAAATTATTGGAATTTTCAATTATTTGTTGTAACTGGTTATAATTTGTTATTATTTTTTAGATTTACTTTATATTATAACATAACATTCTTTAAGAAATGAACTTTAAATATATAAAACCGACATTGGCTCTTTATAACATTGACCTTGAAGGTTATATTATTGACTTTTCACTGATTTTAATTGACTTTAACCTAGTAATAAGTGAATGGATTATCTTCATTCTTTGACAAAACAATATGTTGGACAAGTCAGTCTAAAAGATTGAACTAACATTCACCTTGACTTTGACCGTCAAGTTCAAATTATCAAATTTTGGTTAAGTTGTCATGATTTTGTTATATATATACGGATTTTACTTTAACCTTGGAAAAAAAGACTTGCTACTAAACAGACATATCGATGACTTTAACCTTAAATTGGGTCAAATTAATGACGTACTCTTGTTTTTTCCCCTGAAACTGCCTATAGCGTTGTTATTTATTTATGGATTAACTATATATTAGGACATAACATCTTTTAGGTCATAACCTTCGTATATATAAAACTCAATTTGACATTGACTTATGTATGAACTTGACCTTGAAAATCAAATTATCTTATTTTTAATGATCATTGATATAATTGGCTGAACCTTTGGAATTTAACAATAGATTATTTTCATACTTTGACAAAACAACATTTTAACAAGACATTCTATGAGGTTGAACCGACATTGACCTTGAACTGTAAATTACCTTGACCGTCAAGGTTGAATTATTGAATTTTGGTTAAGTTGTCATAATTTTGGTATGTATGTACGGACTTGATTCATATGTGGATAAAACAACACTTGTGACCAAACAGACATGTTGAATAATTTAGATATGACTTTGACCTTTAATGGTTTTGACCGTCAAACGATTGAATTCTAATTATATTTTATAAACTGTGTAATCAACTTATGGAAAGATTTATGGAAAAAAAGGAAAAACTTATTTTTTCTTTGATCTTCTTTTTAAAGATTGTTTTGACCGTTCATTTGTTTGCTTTTTGAAAAAGTAAAAAAGTTGAGCGTTGCCCCCGCCGGGCGGTGGCTCTAGTTTCACTTTGAACTTTGTCCGGGACCTTACTCCGAAACTACAAAAGGTATTTACAAGAAACTTAATAAATAGATAGATCTCATTAAGTAGAACTGCACTGTACAATAACACTAACTCGGCATTTTTAAATTTTAAAGCTTTACCCCTTTTTCATTTTTACACGGGACATTCCCGTGACACCATGATAGGTATTAACAAGAAACACTTTCTACAATGCATATTAAACAGTTGTAACCTTTGTACAACAACTACCCATAACATAATATCTATATGCTGATTTTGGTAATTGTGTGTGTGTGTGTGTATTTGAGTCTATTTATTCACGCGACCTGATGCCGACATGGGCAAGTCCTCTAGAAGACTATAAGTCATTTTATATTTTGGAGGATACAGCAAACACTCATACACGGGACCTCGATTGAAAGTTTCTTTAGTAATTTTAGTTGGCCGGTCTTTGAATCGATCTCACAATGTCGATATTACAAATATCGAGCTATGACAAAGCTATGATGGCTGGCGAATTCGGTAAAAATCTACTTATCTGTGATAAAAGCCTATTCAGGGACCATCACTCAGTTATTGTCTTGTTTGTTATTGTGAACACTATAAAAAAATGAAAAGTACCTTCTTTGTATGTTATGTCAAATGTGTAATATATACAGTTGCCAATAATGACGAATTTTACAACTGTGCAGAATAGGGACTAATGTATTTACGAATACCGTTGTGGTCGCCAGGAGCATCAATATGAAACAGATTTACAGTGGAATTTGCCAAAAAAATAGCTTAACACATTTTCATGTGATAAGCCATTTCTTTTATTAAGCGTGTTAGTTATAGACACATCAAGTATATGTCTTTTTACCGGTTAAGTGCATCTGTCCCGTTTTCCCCCTATAAACTGATAAATGCATCAGGCGTACGTAATTCTGAAAGGCAGATGCCATTTTCCTTGAAATCGTGAAGTCTGCAGTGTCACAGTTTCCTTTTCTTTTTTAATGATAAATAATTGGATTATACAATTTCTGTTCTTTATAAACAATTCATGTAACTTGAAAATAATGTTTTAACATGAAAGTTTGTTATAACTCTGCATGCGTTCATCACTTTGTCAAGTAATTTGAAAAAAATTGTAGGCGGGTCTTACATTGTCAAGAAGTCATGATCTTTATATAATTCATTTTTGTTATTTGTATCATACAATGTATTTATGCATGGTTTGCATATGTAAATCAACACATACATGTATTGTTTCATATTTTTGATGTGTTATTTGTGCTTATACTCAATAGACATACTAGGCATATACTCAATCGTAATATTTCATTTCAATCTTATGTCAGTCTTAAAAATTATTATATTATGATACTCACTTATTAGCTCCTTAGTCTTAGTTCATACTCCACATGAGCTCTTATGTAAGTTGTTATTTAATTGTATACGTTGAAACTCCACAGTCCTAATTTCTTACTCCTTATTTCATGTTTCAAAAAAACTCTCGAGTTTCTCTTGCTCTTAAACATTTACTTTATAAAGGTTCGGTTCAACTTGTTATATTGACTTCAGTTACATCTTTCATTGGTGAAATAGACATGTTGGAAATAAATTTGTTCTATTTGGAGCGTAATACTAGCACTTATTTGTGAATTTAATCTTATATTATAGCAATTGTGAAAATTGGATTAAATCTCAAAGTGTTAATAAATGAAGTGAAATTATGGTATGTTGTTCTTCATTTCAATGATACAAAGTGATCTTAAATATCGGTGTGGCAAGGGCAAAACAAGAAATAGCTTTCAGTCTTATATGCAAAGGATAGAAGTCCAACACATACAATAAGGGAAGAGGTTTGGTGATTTTGGTCAAAATTGTCTGCTGTTTTTTGTCCATATTCATTTTCTAAAGATAAAATTCCAGTTATAATCTGAACAATCATTTTAGTCTTCATATTTCAGAGAGGACATTGCAATGGGATCTTCAGTGTCTTGTACTAGAAATACAAAGGTTACCAAAACAGAATTAGAAAATAAAGAAAAATCTAAAAGAAAAATTGAAGAATGTATAGAAAAAGATAATTTCTCTTCTCACAGTCTAAAGAGTGATCGTATTGCAGTGCCTTCTTCCAAAGATATTGAATCTCCGCCTCCTGGTGACCATTTTGAAGCTCCGCCTAGAAATGATATTGTAACTCCTCCTCCTACACCTTCTATTATAAAGTCAACATTGAATAAACAGAAAGAAATCAGTGATGACAAAGATACTGGGACAGACAAAAGTACAAACGAGAAAGAGACTGGAATTGAAGATAAGGAAGATGAAAATAAATTGATGACGGTCGAAGAACTTGAAGAATTTAGAACAAAGACACTTAATTACCTTAGAGATACTGCAGAAGAAGTAGTGGCACTTCAGACTTACCACCAAAATGGTGGAGCATTTGTTACTGAGATCTATAATGCTGCTATAGACTTTTACAAAAGTTACTATGCATTGGAAAATGCAGATCGAGTAAAAATAGAGAAATTTAGAATAGACATAGCAGAATTAATGATGGAAACTAAATATTTCAATTTGAGCTGTAAAATTGTAATGTATACATATATGAACGGATGGCGCAGTGAAGACGGAGAGGAGGAAACCAGTAAGACTGTACCTGTATTATGCAGTCTTGCAATCATGCATAACCTCAGTGATGATAGTGATGAGTATGCAATTGGCCTTGCAAATGAGCCTGGATTTCTTGATACACTCATAAAAATACTAAGAGATTCAATTCCAAAATATTTTGCAAAGGAAGAAAAACCAAAACTGGTTGTAAGTTAACTTTAAAATTGTTTGTAAATAGTTGTTTCTTTCATTGCACTGGTTTTATAACCATGTTTGATTTTTAGCGAAATTCATACCAGAAGCAAAATGCATCCTTAGCTCACAATTTGTTCAAAGGTGTGCCAGTGTTATCAACTGCTTTGTTTATTGTAAATTGTAATCTACAATTTCTTTCAGTTATATTTACTCCAAAACTACTGGGGATATATTTAATAAAGTTCATAAGGTAAAATTAATTAAAACGCTCATAAAAATAAATAAAAACATTATTTTGTATTGATTTTATATATCTACGAATTAAGGAGGTAAATATTCACTGTCTGTGTTAATTCATTATTTCTTGACACACTTTTCAGCATTTACATTGTATAGTTGGACAACAAGGAGAATTATCAATTTTTTTTCAGGGAATTGAAGTCGATTTTGTTGAAAATTCTCTAGGTATTATTCACAATATGTCAATGAGAGAAACCAATATTTCGAGACTACGAGGTGCTGGCATGGTCTCTTGTTTAAAACCTTATCTCAAGTCACCAAATACAATGCATGCATTGAGTGCATTGGCCAGTTTGGCAGGTTTGTGATCTTTTTCTTTTTGAGAAAACCATAACCAATTACTTTTATTTGACTTAACTAGCTACCGATTTGCCTGGCCCTATGCTAGTGGCTAAAGCTTCTCTTTCTTTTATTTAAACTCACCCAATATATCATTTACCATAAAATTGTCCTTTCAGATGTGATCTTGGCCTTGAAATGACTGACAGTAAAGACCAAGTCATTGACCTTTGTTTACATTGCCATTTTTGTATTATAAATAGACTTGATAAGTATATTTTAACTTACCATTTCCTAGGATTTTAAACTTAAAGTCGAGCAATGCAATTATGACTTTGACCTTTAAAGTACTTTAATCCTTTAACTTTAATCAAATTATTGTATTTTCATATGCATGTAACTGCCGTTTATAGTTTACAAAATTAATGATTGAATTTTTATATTTGAAAATTATGAAAATTGCTTAACAGTCAATTTTTGTAAAATGAAGAAAAAACAAACAAACAAACAAACAACAACAACAACAACAACAACAACAACAAAAACAACGTACTTTGAGTACACATGGAGCAGATGTTTTATGCGTTGATCGTAGATCATAACAGTATGAATACATAGATCTAGTGTCATTTAAAAATAACATATTTAGCTCTACTTGTTTAAAATAGAGGTATTGTTGTAGTCAGGTCGGCGTTGCCGTCCGCAAATTTTAAACTTCATAATATTTTTGATTTGTTGCTGAATTGTCTTCATACTTGGCCATAACAACCCTTTGGACAAAACCTTCAAGTAGACCAGACTAAACATGACCTTCATTATAAATGATTTTGACCTTCAAGGTGTGCTTAATGTTTACTAATTTTTGCTATGAGTGCTTATAACTTTATTATTTTTGAATAAATTATTTGTCTTCAAATTTGAACATAACAATCTTCTGAGATAGACCTTTATTATGTTAAACAGACAGACATTTAGCTTCACTTATAAATAACCTAGACCTCATTGAATTTTTCTCTTTTTTGCAGTAACGTGGAATATCTAAGTTATGGACGAATAGATTAACTTTATATTAAGACACAACACTATTAAGGTTATGACCTTCATGTGTATGAAACTTTTATTAAAAATGGCACTTTTATGACCTTTATCTGCAGGTTAAATAAATGAATTTTTCACAGATTGTTTCTATAATTGAATATAATTTGGTAATAGATAAATGGATAATCTTTATATATGTACAAAAAATACCTTTGGGACAAAATCTCTTAAAGCTTAAAATAATCTTAACCATCCAGGCCAAATTATTAATTTTTTGCTTAATTGACATTTTGTTTTGTTATTAATGTACGTATTTGATTTTTACTTAAACAAAACAAGACTTTCGACAAACATATTGAGCATTTAGATGTTGCCTTGACCTTTACTTAACCCTGACCGTCAAGGTAAAATAAATGATATTCTCTTATTATATCATTTAACTAGGAAATTTTGATCATGTCCACAGTTTAAGATATAAAATTGAACATTGATATCAGTTGACCTAAATTTTGACATTGTGACCTAATTTTTTGTCCATCGAGGTATTGCTTTGGTATTTTGACCACATGCACATTTTAGATGTGAAATTGAGCTTTGATATTAGCTGACCTAGATTTTGACCTTGTGATCTACCTTCTTGTTTTTTTGATGTACAGTTATGAAATTCTGTAACGCGTGAAAATACTTGAGGTAGCTATCAATCGTGTAAATTTTTATGTATATTGCATCATTAGTATGAGCAAAGCAGTCCGAATAAGAGCAAAACCTAAAAATGAAATTATAAAAAATCATGAAAAACCTTCACTCTTACAAAAATCTTTGAACCTATAAATACAAATAATATAAACAACTAGCTTGGTACTGATCATTACAGCATAATTTGGATGTGTAGCTAGCAACACAAAAAATACTTTTTGTTCAAGTGCAATAAACCACTCAAAAATCATTCAACCGGAAAACACGTGTGATATGCGCATGTACTTGAGGTACAAATCAATCTTGTAAAGTGTCATTGAAATTGCATAATGCATTTCAGATGATTAGTTAGGACAAACTTTATAAATAAAAATGATTAAATGGCCATTACTCTGACAAACAGCATTGAACCTTTAGATACAGACGATATACACAATTAAACCTGGTACTGATGATTCTTGTAAAGTTTGGATGTTATTGCATCAGTACTTTCTGGGTAGTTGTCCGGACAAGTTTTGAGACTGACGGAAAGACAGACTATGGAGAAGTAATTCATATATGAAGCCGCTATTCTGTAGTAGAGGCGACACAAAATGATTGAATTAACTTTACCAGTCATAGGGAATGTAGCCCACTAAACACCGATTATGTTTCCTCTTATTAAAATAACACATATTCAGTGGGAGTTTTTAAGATTTCTGCACAAGTAATTTATCCAAATATGTGCATATTATATCTATTAAAAGAATTTTCGCATGTACGAAATAATTATTTAACCAATTACTGCATGATCATTTTGTAAAAAATGTCTGTTTTCATTAAACAGTCTACCGCTACAAGTTCAAATTGCTATAACACTACTAAAACTGCTTCAATATTAATCAAACTTATCACAAATATTGACTGGACCATTGCCTTTGTAACAACATGCTCAGTCTTAAATTTCTTGTTACTATGGCAACGAGAGGACATCTCAAAATAGCCAAAAAGGGGCTGCGCCGAAAAAGTGGTCACTGTTTTACATTTGTCAGACAAAAACAAGTGTTGGGGCCTAAATAAGGCATTTTTTCACCATTTGAGACAACAATAAGGGGGAGGGGTGAAAGAAAATGCGCTAAAAGGCCGGTATATCGCGTAATGGGTTAATTGTGTAAATCCTATTAAAAGTAGCTGTTGTTTTCTATTTTCTATATTGGTGAACATTTGTTTAAGTTTACGAACAATATTCATGTGTATTTGATAACAAGGACATTTTATTTTACAACTCTTTCGAGAACCAACTATAAGCTTGTGTTAACAACATTATATTTGCTCGTATGTTTCGAAGAGAAATTAGAGCTATTATGACCGCTGCATTTTTAAAGTTATCAACATGTAACTTGGAATATTTGCTTATCATAATACGGTGCAGTTCGAGAAGTGTCGAACTTCTGAAAAAATATATGTCCCCCTCCCTTATTACTAAGAATATTTAACAGACGAACGTTAGCACAGCCATCAGTGCTCTTGTTAAGATTATGAATTTTATAAAACAAGTTCATAACATATAGATCTATACTCTTTAATGAATGGATTTGGTTCAAATTTGGACAAAACACAACTTTAGAAAAACTTTGTATAATGTAACCGAGGTATGGCTTTGACCTTTAATTTTCCTTGACCCCCTAGGACACATCTATTCAAATTCTGTAAAACTACGTATTTTTTGTTTGTTTGTTTTGGATTTTACGTCACATTGACACAGTATAGGTCATATCGCGACGTTCCAGCTTAACTGGTGGAGGAAGACCTCAGGTGCCCTTCCGTACATTATTTCAGGCACGAACGGACACCTAAGTAGAACCACCGACGTTCCGTTAGCTAGCTTGATAGCTTCCTCACATGAAAGAATCCAAAGTCCCTGTCGGGATTCGAACCCGCAGCGATGAGGGGCAAGTGGTTTAAAGTCAACGACCTTAACCACTCGGCCATGGACGCCCCTAAAACTAGGTAAATCTTCTTGGTAGGTCACTCTAAGCAAAATTATTACCTTTATGAACATGAATGGATATATGTCCAGAACCTAACTTTCAGTGTCTGCGGCATGTTAAGACTAGTTATGCAAGGATTTTATTGATGAATTAATGAATGAAATGACATGTTGAACAACATAATCATAATTCCTCAAATGAATATGATTTTTAACTTTAAATGATTTGATATTTGGTATTTTTTACTTCATGAACGTTACTTTCATTTTGTTGTTATTGATTTACTTGACCAAACCAATATTTAGGCCAATAACCTTTCACTTTGGGTAGGCATATAATTCAAAAATGATCATTGAATCGCTATACACAAAAACCAATGTCAAGGTTTTTGCTGATTGCAATAAGTAAAAGTCATCAAGCGTGTTATGTATTATATATCAAATTATATGTAAATTATATATTACATATAATTTAGTATATAATACATATGAGAAATGATATAAACACATATTGAGAAAAGTATGTACATAATAAGAATGTGATAATTATAAATTAATATATATTTTAATAATACATATGAGAAATGATATAAACACATATTGAGAAAAGTATGTACATAATAAGAATGTGATAATTATAAATAAATATATATTTTAATATATTAATTTATAATTATCAGATTCTTATTATGTACATACTTTTCTCAATATGTGTTCATTGAACCGTCCAACATGGCGATGAACATTTAAAAAATTGTTTTGAAAATCTTAAATCTTGAATATATATATTTATATATTGTAGGTATAATCAATGAAGAAGAAAGTGATGTCATTAACAGTAACAAGGAGATTGTAATGGTTTTGTTAGACTTTATCAGGAAGGGGATGAAAGATAAGATGCGAAGATGTAACGGATGGTCCTGCCGAGAATGTGTTTTCAGTAAGTTTTTTTTTCATGCGAGGTAAAGTTTTAGTACACAATCAACAAATTATCTCAAATTGTTTTGAGTAGCGGTATTTCGATTTTATAGGACGTTTAAACAATGAATGCAGTGGAAAATCTGAGACATGTATAATGTCCGTTTTATTGATGATTCAGTAATAATTAAAGATCCAGTTATTCGAGCTTTGACTGTAGTGTTCGGTGTTTTAATTACATAAAATAGTTGCCAATTAAAGGCATTTTTCCCATCTACAAAACTATTTAGAATTCTTAAGTATTATTGACAATTCCCCAAAAATTGTTACGATAGTAAACTTTGCTTAAACAGTTTCGAAGACTTTTTTTTATTTTGTGATCCATAAAACTAGAAACAATGTGTGAGTATTGTGCGCGCGTGCGTACGTGTGCGTGTGTGTGTGTTCGTGGTCAAGCTGGCAATAGGGAAATTTTTTCTACAATATGTGATGGAGACATTGTAATGTAGTTTTACTCTTATTAACTATTTCAAATATTGCATAAAAGCAGTCTGCGAATGTAGCACTAACCAGCTAGCCAAATGCTAGAAGAATTTGGGTGTGGCCCATACGATAAAATTATCCAAGCAGCTAGCCTGAATGGTCTGTGAAATTTAACAGTGAATCATCGTAGTGTCTTTAAAAGAGATAAAAAAGAACATTTTATTTATACTTGAATACAAAAAAAACAAAACATTTAAGCCATTTTCATCAGAGTTTAACATTTTTGGGCTTGTAAAACCTAATTGGGCTAATAAATGTTGCCAACCTCTATCCCAATCTTTTTTGGTTTTCTTGTCCGAAACTCTTTGAATGTAAAAGACAAATAAGAAGAACAGTTCTGTAACATTTTAAACAGTAGTATTTGAAAATATTGTATAGTTTATTAAAAAAAATAATTATAAGGAAAAGTGAAAGTGATGTGGAAAAAAAATTCTCTAGACAGGGGTGGGGTGGATGAAAGCTCCCAAACACAAGATAAAACATAAACTGCGAATAAAAACACTTGTAATTATTCAGTTTACTTTTCTATACCAGCTGTCAAGTTACTGGCAAGAAATGATGCTAATATGAAGACTTTGGTAGAGCTTGGAGCTCTGGAATTACTTGTGGAGATGGCCAAAATTGGCGATGATGGTGAACAGTATGGTGAGTTTTTTTTGATAGGTAGAAAAGAAATGTTAAGTTGTTTTTGACATTTTGTTTTACATGTTTTCAGTGTAATACAGCCGACTCTCGAAAAGTGGTAGTCGACGTTACCTTGGAAAAATCAAGATAACGAAAAGTAAAATATTTAAGCCATTTTAATTGCTTAGATCCGGCAGAAATGGTATATGACTTTGCATAATTATCTATAATAATATTTCTTTGCAAATTCATGTTTTGTTTAAATTTGCTGCCAAACTTTAACATTAATTTTGCAAATTTATGGCGTTTTTCTGGATTTATTATGATGTGAGATACATTTTTTGTCATTTCATAGATCTACATGGAATTTGCCTCAGGACTGGTTAACTGTACATTGTATAAAGCTCACCTCAGCACATTTTTCTAGTCCTGTTAGATTTGTCATAGGGTAAGACAAAATCTAGGGTGAGAATAGTGTGGAGCCGGACAGGCCTCATTATTATCTTTAGTTGCAAGCTAAAACATTATTATTTTTTGCTTGTAAATCAAAGAAGGTTTCTTTACTAATTGTATCATTACATAATATACAATGTGGACCTGTGACGAAGTTTGTAAGGGACTCTCGTTTTTATTAGATAACATTTATGTCAGGTTTGGTAATACTTTTTTCAAACAGACAACAGGCATTCCAATTGTAACTAATTGTGCACCCCTGGTAGCTGATTTATTCTTATATTGTAACAAGAGGGATTTTATATTAAGTATCTCTCCTGATTCACAACAAAAACTTATACTTGCATTAATACCACTATCCGCTATCTAGATGATATCCTTAGCATGAGTAATTGCTTTTTTGATCAAAATGGATTCTGATATATATCCAAGTGAACTAAATTTAATAAACAAACTCTTCAGACATTACTATATCTTTTTTAGATTTAAACATTTCTATTATAAACAATACTGTAGTTTCTAAAATCTATGATAAAATAGATGATTTGGATTTTAATACCGTTAAAATCCACATTAAGATGGAAATGGACCTCATGCAACATTATGGGGTATAAAGTTGTTGAGGCATGAAGTCGTGTGGATGATTTTAATTATTGCAGTTTATCTATTACTGGACCGTTGTAATTCAGATGTTGTTTATTTTTAATCTAATTAGTATTTAAAATTATTTTACGACTATGTATTAGCAAGCCTGTTTACTTCGGAGTTGTGGTTTATAAACTTCGTAGGATTATGTGTCATAGTAATTTTTCTGTTATCTTTACTAATATTATCAAAGTTTTATTAAAAGAGGCTATGCTATGACCTAAATATTTCAAAGTATACCGCATGCCTGGTGTTCAACCCTTTAACGGCTTGACACTACGTTTTCCTCTTTTGATTACATATGACAGACCAAGTGGAGGCTCTATGACAAGACAGTTCTTAAACCTTTCAAAAAGAATTGTTTTAATTTTTGTATTCTGTCATGTTTCTTCATGCCCTTGTAGGAGCTTTTCTTGTTGCTCTTGGTTCCTTGAGGGTATAGAGTACTTATTTATGGTCATAAGGCTGTACCTTTCTGTACATATTTACATGGTCATTTATGTCTTTTATTGTTTTCATCTAATGTTACAATGGCTTTTGTTAGATTTTTTTCGGCGGGAATTCATTTAATTGACTGTCTTGTCACATAAGAACATTTTGAGGCTAAAGGTGACTTTTTGCACGTCAAAACCGGTGTAATTTCCCCAGTGGTGTTATTACTAATGACCGTTCAGAGGTGATACCCCTCTGTTGTCCTTAACATGTATGTCCTCTGTTTATTGTTACATGTTTGGAATGTTTGCACGTTTTGTGATGTCTCGTTAAATTTTTTGTTAACGGTAAGTATTTTCTCCCATTGTCCCCTGCTCCTTCCCTGATACTTAATAAAAACTTTTCTACAGTTTGAAAAAAACTTTTACCACAGTTTGATATATATAGCGAAATTTAAGCTTATTTATTTACACAAGTCAGTTCAGTTCTATTTAAATATAATCCAAGCATATGAATGTAATTACCTGTCCTTACAGAGTCTGCGGAAATCAAATATTAAACTTTCTGTGATTTTGGTTAGTTTAGCATAAGATGGCTAGCACTAAAGCTTTCTTAAAAAATTGAAACTTCTTTAGGAGTTCAAACCTATGAAGTTGAAAAGGTAGTGAAGCGAAGTTTTTGACTAAATCATTTGGAATTACCTCACTCGCTCTCCTCGTCTGCTGCTTTTACTCCTGTTCTTAGTCACATTATCAATAATACCAGTGTTCATAATTTGTACATATGTTTATTCATTTTCTAAAAAAAATGTTATTATTTGAAATAAGAATGACTGCTTTTTTTCGTTGAAGAGAGCGTTTCTGCACTATGGGCGCTGTGTTTTGACGAAGATAACAAGTCGCTCATCACCGGAAAACCGGAACTTGGGATCGTTGATTTACTCGTAGATTTAAAAACTTCGGAAAATGAGAAAATCAAGAACGTATGCAATGGTGCACTGTGGACACTTAGAGATGCATTGAAGAAAACAGTTGTTGAAAAATACAAGAAAATAGGTCAGTTCATATTTGTATGTTTTGCACTTATATGTATTAATGCTGGCAAGTAAATTGTAAAAACGATGCTAAGAGGGTGATTTAAATGCCGCTATGAAATTTGAATACTCTTTATGTATGAGTGACAGTTTTAGGCTATATATATATGTTGCTGAACTTAAAGGCACATTAAGCCTAAATAATGGTGATATGTTCACTTTTCAAGTTACAGCTTTATAAATGTCACTTATTGACCAAAACAGCTTAGTCATCTTTTGCTTCGTTTGGGATTTGACAAATTGTACAGAAATAGCAATTTAGTTTTTTTGTATGGAAGTCGAAAGACCACTTTATTAGCATATTGCTATCTATATAAAATAATTTCACATTCCATGCTAAAATCGTCATGTGATTAGCATCTGAAATGTTCTAAATCAATAAAACAACAAAGTACACATTTGCACTTCAATAGAAACAAAATGATATTTTTCTGAGACTTAATGTGCCTTCAACATAGCATATTCTTTAAAAAGTTATAAGAAACAAACACATTTTATATTCATTTGATGGCTCTAAGTACGTTTGTCATATGTTGCCATCCTGAAATTGTCAAATTATGATTTCCCAATGTAGATGCTGAAAATTTAGTCTGTAAGAGTTTCTCGGAACTAGTTTTAATATAACATTGTGTTTGCAAAAATCATGTACTTCGACCAAAACATCATTGCCAGGATATTTCTTTCCTTCCTTTCATTCTCATTGAAATATAGCTGGACCAAACTGAAATTATATCCACAGCGACGTTTTCAAATTGTATTATAACTGTCTATTTAAAATTATATTTTCACAACAACTTGATTAAATTAGTGTGAGAATTTTAAAAATTATCATTTGCATTAGGAACATCTTATGGCACAGGAAAAATGCTCATTGTATAAGACGTTTTCCCCCTTTAAAGTAGAAAGTTGTTTTTACAACCCCCTTTATAATACATCAGAAAAGTTCTAAGAAACAAACTTGGCAGTCATTAATACTAAAGGGTGTACAGCTTTAACTTACAAAGCACAAACAATCATGGTATTGTCACATTGTTTTCATATTGTTATGATCTTATCAGTAGAGAGAAAAAGCAGACATAATTTAAGGCGTTTGAAGTTTATGTGCATTAAAATTAAACATTATTTAAAAAGAACAAAATTAAACAGTCCCTTACAAAATTTTTTTTTTGAAATGTTTAACAATGAATTATTAATGATTGCCACCTGCTTTCGAAAACGAAAATTCACAAACATTATTCTGTCAATATGATTTTATCAAGATTTTAAGATGTTTGCCACTTAAAATATTTGCATCCTTATGCTTTTAACCAGCTTGAATAGAAAGTCATAAGCCTTGCATTGCCACCAGTATTCAGCTATACCAGCCTGTATAATTATGATAAGGTATAGTCCGACTAGGCTGTATTCTGTTGGCTAAATAGATAATTTATTAATCGACAGTGCCAAAGAAACTGGACAAGTCATTTTAAGAAATTCAGCAGGATATTATACTAAACGTCCGTTAGAATATAGACCCTACATACAATTGGCACCAGCTTTGTTTTCCTTTATGTCTGAAAGGTCTATTGCTGATGTATTGCAGCATTTATATTAAGGAGGATGTTAACATTCGCTTGATATTAAGAAACATTTATGTTATTAAACTAACGACTAAAAAGTGCTTTACTTTAAGGAATGCAGAACCTTTTACACTGCATCGACAACCCCGTCACGTTACACAATTGGGAAAACAAATACAAATGCACGGCTGCTTTGTTAATACTGCAATTAATTATGGAAAATGCAAGAATAAATATCTTGACACCATTAATTACTAAAAATCCCGAGTATCTGATAACATTACAAAGGTATCTCCAAGCTGAAATTATCCTTTTTTATAATTTTCATTGAGTTAATCAATACTGTAAATGCAATTTAAATCATTTTATTTTTTTGAATATCAAGTTTAATTAACCAAAATAAAAACACCCCACAAAACTGTGTGATATTCTTATCGAAATAAATTTTGAGCCATGTATTAATTAATACTTTAATAATTGATCGAAGTTTTAAACATTTTTGGCGGGTCAATAAATCTAAAGGATAAATATTTGTCGATGAAATAATGCAACTTTCAATTTCATTGGTACAAGTAAATAACAAATCAACACAATATTGATATATGTGAAATATATTTATGCATACAAGTATTTCTAGGACTGAAAGAATGTGTAATTTGAAAATGAATATAAAACTATTTCAGATTTAGTCTTGGTTAAGAGCTAAATGTTTCTTTTTAATTGGAATGAGTACAGCTGTAGTCCAATTGAGCCTTCAAATGCAATTTATCCATTCCTTTAGTTGATGCTGTGTTAGTCTCACCATTATGATGACATATTTTTGGAGACTTCCCTTAGGTAAAGTTGTCCAGGAAAGCACTGAAATATTTTGCATTTGCTGCAAGTCCCCTGTCTGCTGTGTAGTATAAAAATCTATTATCAGGGAAGACCCATATTTGATTGAAGTAAATAAAATTGTTAATAATCAAATTTAAGACAAAATAGTAAAGCTATTATACAGTAGGTATTGACAGAATTTGACTCATTAGCTCGGCTATTTTGAGGAATATGGAGAGCTATTGCAGTCGCCCCGGCGTCGGCGTCTGCATTGGTTAAAATTTTTTTGTAAAGTCAAATATCTCAATTATTGCTTGAGATATTCAAATGAAATTTGAGCTAACTCAGGGTGAGCTTTTAGGATCGTTGAAAGTCCGTCGTCCGTCCACACTTGTTCGTTAACACGCTAGCGGTCACATTTTTGCATCAATCATCATCAAACTTTGTCAAGATGCTTATGTAGGTAATAGCTCGAATGAGTTCAAACTTGGGTTATCTCGGATAAAACTTTAGGTCACAGGAACTAAAAATAGAAAAAACCTTGTTAACACTAGCAGTCACATTTTTTACTCGATCATCATCAAACTTGGTCATAATGCTTGTCAAGGTAATTGCTCAAATAAGTTCGAAGATGGATTATATCGGATGAAAAACTAGGTCACACAAGCTAAAAATAGAAAAACCTTGTTAACACTCTAGCGTTCATATTTTTGCCTTAATCATCATCAAACTTGGTCAGGATACTTACCAAGGTAATAACTCGGATGTGTTCGATCATAGGTCATCTCGGATGAAAAACTAGGTTACAGGAGCTAAAAATAGAAAAACATGTTAACACTCTAGCGGACACATATTTGACTCGATCATCATCAAACTTTATCACGATGCTTGTCTAGGTGATTGCTCGGATGAGTTCGAACATGGGGCATCTCGGATGAAAAACTAGGTCACAGGAGCTAAACATAGAAAAATCTTGTTACCACTCTAGTGGCTACTATTTTAATCCAAATATCCTGGAAATTGGTCTGAAAGTTTGTTTTGATGATTTCTAGGTCAAGTTCGAATATGGGTCATGGGTTCGATGGGTAAGGTGAGCGATCTAGGGCCATCTTGGCCCTCTTGTTTATAGTAACAATGTACATCTGTTTGCAAAGTTGCATTACTCTGCCTGCAATATTGGCAGAATAATGCCCCTTTATTTTAAGATTTTAAGAAATAGTTCTGCAATACTAATGGAAACCTTATGTTAACGCTTGTGTGGGTACCCTGTCATATTGGTCTTGTCGGGAATAAACAAGCCGATAAATGCGCAAAAAGTGCAAGCATTGATGACATCACATCAGACTTAGCACTTAGTATATAAAAAGCATTCAGTATAATTTATAGAAAAGTGATAGAAAAAAAAAGAAATAGATTATGGAACGAACACTGCGAAATAAAGAATATAGAAATAAACAAGATACCACCCAAAAAACCTAGTATCATATCACCATATTCGAAAATTAGATATAGGCACTTAAACCATTCAAAACTTAAAGATCACTCATATTCCGCCGATAAAAATTGTCCCTCATGTAATGAATCAGAAATGTTTGAACACATGTTAATCAACTGCGCGTGTCATGCAATACAACGCAAAGAATTGGAATCATTCATACCAAAATTTGGGATATTATCAATTATTAAAAATACTCTTTGAAATAGCTGATCAAGTTTGCACTGCGATATTCAAATTCATAAAAGATATGCAATTTACAAATAAAATTCAATTTAATATAGATATAATTACACAAAGTATCATATTAAAGATTGCTACTTTATAAAATGGGATTGAAATAACGAGCTATTGTTTATGAATGTGGAACTTAGCAGGGCAAAATTTAGTATGGAAATGCCCACAAGTATAGACATATCTTTTGACAGGCACACTAAGTTGGCACAACAGTGATTTTAAATTAGAAATTGCAGCTCAGAACATATTTATTTTTGTGCTGATTGTAGGAGCTGAATAGCTACATACTGGTATCTCACAAACATTTTATTTGTAAAGTCATTCCATGGTCAGATAAGTAGATATGATGTTAATTGTATACACAACTATTAATTTAATCTAATATGTAAAACTTCAAAATTTTCAAAAATATTTAAGATAAATACACGCATGGAATCTTCTTGTTGAGAGGTCCAAGGGAACTTAGGATGGTACGTAGTATTTAACAACAGTAAAGATAAAATAGCATACTAATTTAAACTATTTTTAATCCCTAATGTAAAAACAAAGTCACCTCACTAGAGACATAATGCTTAATCAACCGACTGAGAACTAAAATAATACTAACAATACAATGATAATAGATTATATGAAATACCTGCTGGATAGACACCCTACAAGGAATGCGGCGCTGGGCGCACCGACTACTTTCATCAAATCAAACGTTAATATTAAACATATAAGAACGAGTATGAATAACGATGATATATTATGTCCATCAGGCTGCAGTACAGCCCAAACTTGTAATCAAACAAGAACATGGGCGCACATCTCAATCAACCGACTAATTGCATCAAATCAAACTAAAATACTTAA